GAGAGGACGCGGCGAGTGAGGGTCAGGGTGCAAGAGAGGGTGACTAGCCCGTCGGAGTAGGCCCAGATGGTCTTCATTGGCCGTTGACAAACGAGATCTCGTTGCTCGTGCCCACCGCTCGGGAAAAGCTGGAGAGGGGGAGGGAAGGGAAGGGGAGTGGACAGGAGAGGGGAGGAGGGGAGGAGGGAGGAGGGGAGGAGGGGGGGAGGGGAGGAGGGGAGGAGGGGAGGAGGGGAGGAGGGGAGGAGGGGAGGAGGGGAGGAGGGAGGAGGGAGGAGGGGAGAAGGGGAGGAGGGGAGGAGGGGAGGAGGGGAGGAGGGGAGGAGGGGAGGAGGGGGAGGAGGGGAGGAGGGGGAGGAGGAGAGGAGGAAAGGAGGGGAGGAGGGAAGGAGGAGGAGGGGAGGAGAGAGGAGGGAGGAGAGGGAGGAGGGAGAGGAGAGAGGAGGAGGAGAGGAGGGGAGAGGAGAGGAGGGGAGGCAGGAGAGGAGGGGGGGAGGGGGAGGAGGGGGAGGAGGGGGGAGGGGGAGGAGGGGGAGGAGGGGAAAAAGAAGAGGAGGGAGGAGGGGAGCATGGGAGGATGGGAAAGTGAGAGCCAGGAAGAAGCTGTTGTGAGGGGGGGAGAGTGCGAGTGTGAGTCAGAGTGAGGGTGTGAGGGAGAGTGGCATCCACGAATGAGATTGCCTGTGCCACCCGTTTGTGAGAAGCTGGAGAGAGGGAACCTACGTGGCGGCGCCAGAGGAGTAGGCGGGCGAGCCGAGTGAGTACGAAGCGGTGGTGATGTCCGAGGAGGAGTACGAAGTCATGCTGTACGCGCCAATGGCGGCGCCCGCGCTGTTGGCGATGATGCAGTCCGAGGGATACATCTTGCCCGCCGACGACCACCCCACGGAGAACCACCCGCCCGACACGGCGGCCGACGTGGCTTGTAACTCCATTTCGACGGTCGTCCCCGTGGTGGCCTTCCAGTGGAGCACGAGGCTGGGGATGGGGGAAAGAGGGGGAGGGAGGAGCACCCCACAGAGAGCAGCACCGCGCTATTAGCGATGATGCAGTCCGAGGGATACATCTTGCCCGCCGACGACCACCCCACGGAGAACTACCCGCCCGACAAGGCGGCCGACGAGGCTTGTGTTGGTGGGGCACTGGGATCGTCCTAGTTGAGTGTGGGAGGGCTACAGGTCCGTCCTGGGGGGTAATGGGTGCGCTACCCACCACAAAAAGCATGCCCTTTTAACCCAGTCGGTAGCGGGCTGGGCCAACAGCTAGCAGTTCCATCTCGATCGTGGTGCCCGTGGTGGCCGTCCAGTGGAGCACCAGGGGGGAAAGAAGGGGGGAAAAGGGGGGGAACGGGGAGATAGGAGGTGGGGAGAGAGGAGGGGGGGTGGGGGTTGGGGGGGGGAGGGGAGGGAGTGGGAGGGGCCCGTTATGCTGTTGGCGGTGATGCAGTCGGAGGGAGAGGTAGATCTTGCCGCCTTCCAGTGGAGAACCAGGCTGGAAGTTGACGGGCGGAAGGGCGGAAGGGCGGAAGGGGAAGGGCGGAAGGGGGAACGGGGGAGAGGAAGGGGGAGAGGGGGGGGGGAGGAGAAGATGTGAGCTGTAGCGCTATTGCGACGAGCTTCCAGTGGGGAATGAAAGCGGGACAATGTAATCCGAGATGAAAGCGGGACAATGTAATCCGAGATGAAAGCGGGACAATGTAATCCGAGATGAAAGCGGGACAATGTAATCCGAGATGAAAGCGGGACAATGTAATCCGAGATGAAAGCGGGACAATGTAATCCGAGATGAAAGCGGGACAATGTAATCCGAGATGAAAGCGGGACAATGTAATCCGAGATGAAGCGGGACAATGTAATCCGAGATGAAAGCGGGACAATGTAATCCGAGATGAAAGCGGGACAATGTAATCCGAGATGAAAGCGGGACAATGTAATCCGAGATGAAAGCGGGACAATGTAATCCGAGATGAAAGCGGGACAATGTAATGTAATCCGAGATGAAAGCGGGACAATGTAATCCGAGATGACTTTTGAGTCGACTCAAAGGAATGAAAGCGGGACAATGTAATCCCTAACGATTCCACTTGAAACCCCATGCTTACCCCGACAATAGCGTTTTCGACGACGTGAATCCGCTCAGATTCGACGCGCTATTCTTGGGGCGCCTTAAAGATTGAAACCCCATGCTTACCCCGACGAGAGCGTTTTCGACGGCGTGAGTCCCCATTAATCCCCATCGAGTCCCCATTAATCCCCATCGAGTCCCCATTAATCCCCATCGAGTCCCCATTAATCCCCATCGAGTCCCCATTAATCCCCATCGAGTCCCCATTAATCCCCATCGAGTCCCCATTAATCCCCATCGAGTCCCCATTAATCCCCATCGAGTCCCCATTAATCCCCATCGAGTCCCCATTAATGGAGCGTTTTCGACGGCGTGAGTCCCCATTAATCCCTAACGATTCCAGTTGAAATGAAACCCCATGCTTACCCGGACGACAGCGTTTTAGACGACGTGAATCCGCTCAGACTCGACGCGCTGCACGTCGCCGCGACTCCGTCGTTTCCTCGTCGATTCCACCGTTTCCCCGGCGGCGGCGGCGGCGGCGGCGGCGCTGCTGCCTTTAGAGTCTGCGTGCCGCCGAAGAATAGGTTCCCGCCTTGTATCGACCCCACGGAGATTTGGAAAGGGAAGAACGATGAAACGGCGGGAGGAGGCGGAGCGGGTGCGGCGGCGGCGGCGGCGGCAACGGCGGCGCATAGTGTGACTGCAACGAGCAGCGGCGCGAGTCGAAGCGTGACGTGCTGACGGGCCATGGCGAAAGATTGGAGGTGCGCGACGAAGAGACTCGGGCGAGAGAATCCGGCCAATCACGATCGAGACGCTAACGTGGCAGTTGAACGGAGTGGCTTGCAGAATCGAGCGTTGAAATGAGAAGGTTCGAGGGATGGCGGCGCTGGGTGGTGGTTTTTGTGCCGACTCAAGAGGCAGATTCGAGTATTAAAACGGAAAGAGAAGGTTCGAGGGATGGCGGCGCTGGGTGGTGGTATGGCGACGCGATGGTTTGATGGAACGCGCGTGAGAATATGGTGAGAGAGAGGACGAGAGTTTTTCGCGCTTGTGGCAAATCCAATCGAGTCACGTCGAGGCGAGACCACTCTGTGACGCTCGCCGGTGGTTCTGTCTCCCTCGCAGCTCGGTATCGACAAGGCTCGAGCGAGTTGCTTGTCGCTGCGGCGAAGGACTCCTCCTGATATAGGCACGGAAGAGAGCTCTTCCAATCTCGAGGCAGCGAAGACTGCAGGACAACGAGCTGACAACGAGCTAAAAGCTTGTCCTCGTTGCTCGCTGTCTGTCAATGCCTGGCCCCCCCTGCTTCCGTGTTTCACAGAATGCCTGGGAATACACGCAGCCGCAGCATTCTATTCAACCCTTCGCAGGGGGAGAAGAGAATCCGAAGGTACGGGCACACGAAACAAGACGAGTGAGGGTACACCTGTTAAACTCTATAATATCAACCACCAAGTACCGAGCTGAGCCGCATTGACCCTCAATTTAGGCCGAAATCATACTCTAGGAGTACAAACCATATTCTAGAAGGCAAACTCCAAGAATCTTGGAAGGAGACACTTAGCAAATAGTGCCCTGAGACCAGGGAAATATTGCGCTAACCAGAAAGATGCACTTAGCAGAAGTTGGAGCTCTGTCCGTAGCGTACTACACAGGGGCGGGAACCCTGTCGTTTTCTGCGACTAGGCCCAATCCCGTGGTCGCACACGTTTCGTAAGGCGTCGCAGGGCTAAGTTACATCACCACACCCAATTTGATGCAAGATCTGGTAAACATATATACTTCGGAACCTTGACAAAATAAATACTTGGGAGTAAACATGCGCGAAATTACATTATGTTTAAAAGAACAAAGAGCATCGTAAAACAATGCTAAAAAACATCACCATCTCGAAAATATGGCACACATCGACAAGGAGGATTGTGTGGAAAAACTCTTATTATTTCCGTCTTGATGGTTGGCGTGTATCAATCAGCTACCGTGAGGCTTCCGAGTCATTTCGTAAATCAATGGCTCACAACAACAAGATTGGTTGGCGTTTCTGACGCAGTGAGATCGCAAAAGGCCATCGACCAATCTGCATTGTATAAGCATGGATCAAACGATTTATATTGATGGCGCTGCATTTTTTACATGATGCATGCAACTTTTTTCATTGGCCAGGTTGCGTACATGGGTTTTGCACCTAAGTAATAATTGCAGCTAATTTTATTTTTTTTGCTATTTGTATTTCTTGCACTAGACGCATATGATATTTAATGTCCCACTTGCCTGTGGTTTGAAACTTTCGGGGAACGGACTCAGGCCGCGTGAAAGAAAACTTATTCTTTAGCGTTGAACAGGTGTAACTGAGGGTCAAGAAGGTAAGAAAGCATGGCGAGCCGAGTGCCGTACGTTCACTGCTAGCTGGGGATTTGGAATTCATGGTTCGAGAACAGTGGGGGCCTGCCTTGCCAATCGCGACGCCGGAAAAAAAAAAGGGGAAGGGAGGTGCGGCGGAAGCTACAGGTTTCCAGGGGTGGTTGGTTTGCGGAACGCGAGCCTGGTCTGGCTGCAAACGTAGGGGTGTGCAGTTTGGGTCAAGGCTACCTGGTCGAGGTCTGGTTCCAAAAAGGCACCCAGACCTGGCCGATTGAGTGTTTGCGATTGGCTGCCAAAGTTTGGCGGCGATAATAGAGGGCCGGATGCGCGGTTAGGCGCCTTGCGAGTCGCACTCGAGCGAGCCGCAAGCGACTCGTTCTGGCGGCGGCGCATAACAGGGGCCAAGTCTGGGAGGATGTAGTGTACAGTTGTGCTGCCAACATGTTAGCTACACTGTACCTATATTTGAAACTTGTGAAATTTGGGCCATCTTCTTGTCATGGAATAATGATGCAACACGCAGGAAACATCTTCACGTCTCCAAATGGTGCAGCTGAATTCGGTGGGCCATTGTAAGTTGCATATACGGACATCATTTTGCTCAGCATCTAGAATGCAGTCTGGTTCAAGCAGCGTTCTTTATATGCTCGGAATGAATGTACCAACCAAGCAATAGCACGAAGCAAAGAAATCCGTACCATAATCTACACCCTCATCTAACTCTACTAAATGGCAGTTATCAAGGCACAAGGAATGCCTCGAGCTATACCCATCCCAATGCCACGGACTCAAGGGCTCCGCTGCTGCCACCACTCTCCATTTGTCATCCCGGCCACCACTAACCGTATCATAAAACCTCACACCTGACCTGCGGTTACCAGCAGTAACACCACCGGCACCGTCACCAACACCAGCTCCAGCACCAGCAGCACTCCCTCCTTGCGGCTGGTCAGGAAGAGCGGTGGCAGTGATTCCAGCAGCGTCAGCAGCCCCAGCAGCCGGTGACGCTTCTACTGTAGTACTTGTCGGCGTCTGAGTCGTCGGCGTAGTCGGGACCGCATGCCCAGAGGCACGCAGGCACTTGGTAGCATGCAAAGTCAACCGCATAGCCGCCCCTGCAGGGAGTGGAGAGGGGGGAGAGGCAGGGAGGAGGCGGGACAGAGTGAGTGTGTGCATGAGGGGAAGAGAGAGGGAGAGGGAGAGAGGAAGGGGAGGGAGATGACAGCCCCCTGTGAGGAACTGCAATCGGCGTTGGAGTCATTTTCAGAATCTGGGCTACAGCTTCAGAGGCACGAGGAGGAGACTTGGTGGCACGCAAAGGCAACCGCACAGCCACCCCGTGGGGGGTGGAAAGGGTGGAGGGACAGGGAGGAGGCGGACATAGTGAGTGTGTGTGAGAAGGAAGGGAGGGAGCCATCTTCAGAACCTTGGCTGCAGCTTCAGAGGCACGAGGAGGAGGAGACTTGGTGGCATGCTAAGTCAAAAGAAACACACCTGTCCCGTGCCGACCGTGGGCTGTGGAGTCGACTCAAAAGCACCTTTGACTGAAACAACACGCGCAGAAGTGCCAGGGGCACTCACTGGTTCGTGCCGTGAAAAAACCGAGCGTCTTGGTGATTGTCTGCGGAAATGCCCAGATGAGATAGCTGGTGGTATTCAGCTTGAGAGGCACGTTCCCTGTGCCAACCGTCCGGCTGAAGGTGATGGACGTCCCGCCTTCGGTCGTGGTGGACACAGCCGTGGTTCCCAGGGAGAAGGAGCTGGTCTGCTGGGATGTCCTTGGCTTTATAGCCGCCCAGGACAAACGCCCCCACCCCTGGGAGGTTCCCGATGACTGCATCTGCGCCCTTCATCTTGCCCTTCTTCTTGGACCATCCGACGGCCAGCCACGAGTCCTTGATGAGGGTGTTGGAGCGCGCCTCGAGGAGGAAGTCGATGGACCGTGGCGGATGGAAACTTCCAGTGCAGCAGGTAGCTGGGGGGGGGAAGGGGGAGGAGGGGGCGAGAGAGTGGGAGGGGGAGAGAGCAAGAGGGTGGGAAGGGGGAGAGAGCAAGAGGGTGGGAAGGGGGAGAAAAAAGGGGGTGGGTAAGTGGAGGCAGCAAGGGGGTGGGGAGGGGGAGGGAGCAAGGGGGAGGGGAGGGGAGGGAGCAAGGGGAGGGAGGGGGAGGAGAAGAATGAGGAGGGGGCAGGGGGGGTTGTGGCCGGCCACGCGTCCGCACTTACTTGCCACTCCCCTCGTTCTTGCCACTCCCCAGCTCAAGCTTTATACTAGTAGAAGCCGGAAAAGGTAGACGTGGGCCAGAGAACTGACACACATTCTCGAGCCCACACACTCCCACACCCACACATTCTCTCAAACCCCCACTCGCTCCTATCCTCCCACACACACTCCCCACTCGCTCCTATCCTCCCACACACACTCCCCACTCGCTCCTATCCTCCCACACACACTCCCCACTCGCTCCTATTCCTCCCACACACACTCCCCACTCGCTCCTATCCTCCCACACACACTCCCCACTCGCTCCTATCCTCCCACACACACTCCCCTCTCGCTCCCCCCCCCCCCCCCCCCTCCTTATCCTCCCACACACACTCCCCACTCGCTCCTATCCTCCCACACACACTCCCCACTCCGCTCCTATCCTCCCATCACACACTCCCCTCTCGCTCCTATCCTCCCTACACACACTCCCCCTCGCGTCCTATTCCTCCCCACACACACTCCCCACTCGCTCCTATCCTCCCCCACACTACCCCCCCACCTCCCCTCGCTCCTTATCCTCCCACACACCACTCCCCACTCGCTCCTATCCTCCCCACACACACTCCCCACTCGCTACCTATCCTCCCACACACACTCCCCACTCGCTCCTATCCTCCCCACACACACTCCCCCACTCGCTCCTATCCTCCCACACACACTCCCCACTCCCCCCCCCCCCCCCCCCCCCCTCGCTCCTATCCTCCCACACACACTCCCCACTCGCCTCCTATGCCTCCACACACACTCCTCCTCGCTCCTATCCTCCCACACACTCCCACTCGCTCCTATCCTCCCACACACACTCCCCACTCGCTCCTATCCTCCCACACACACTCCCCACTCGCTCCTATCCTCCCCACACACACACTCCCCCACTCGCTCCTATCCTCCCACACACACTCCCCACTCGCTCCTATCCTCCACCCACACACCACTCCCCCACTCCGCTCCTATCCTCCCACACACACTCCCCACTCGCTCCTATCCTCCACACACACTCCCCACTCGCTCCTATCCTCCCACACACACCTCCCCCAACTCCTCCTATCCTCCCACACACACTCCCCACTCGCTCCTATCCTCCCACACACACTCCCCACTCGCTCCTATCCTCCCACACACACACTCCCCCACCTTCGCTCCTATCCTCCCACACACACTCCCCACTCGCTCCTATCCTCCCACACACACTCCCCACTCGCTCCTATCCTCCCACACACACTCCCCACTCGCTCCTATCCTCCCACACACACTCCCCACTCGCTTCCTATCCTCCCACACCACACTCCCCACTCGCTTCCTATCCTCCCACCACACACTCCCCACTCGCTCCTATCCTCCCACACACACTCCCCACTCGCTCCTATCCTCCCACACACACTCCCCACTCGCTCCTATCCTCCCACACACACTCCCCACTCGCTCCTATCCTCCCCAACACACCCCCACTCGCTCCTATCCTCCCACACACACTCCCCACTCGCTCCTATCCTCCCACACACACTCCCCACTCGCTCCTATCCTCCCACACACACTCCCCACTCGCTCCTATCCTCCCACACACACTCCCCACTCGCTCCTATCCTCCCACACACACTCCCCACTCGCTCCTATCCTCCCCACACACACTCCCCACTCGCTCCTATCCTCCCACACACCCCCCCCCCCCCCCCCCACCACTCCCCACTCGCTCCTATCCTCCCACACACACTCCCCACTCGCTCCTATCCTCCCACACCCCCCACTCCCCACCCCCCAACTCCCCACTCGCTCCTATCCTCCCACACACACTCCCCACTCGCTCCTATCCTCCCACACACACTCCCCACTCGCTCCTATCCTCCCACACACACTCCCCACTCGCTCCTATCCTCCCACACACACTCCCCACTCGCTCCTATCCTCCCACACACACTCCCCACTCGCTCCTATCCTCCCACACACCACTCCCCACTCGCTCCTATCCTCCCACACACACTCCCCACTCGCTCCTATCCTCCCACACACACTCCCCACTCGCTCCTATCCTCCCACACACACTCCCCACTCGCTCCTATCCTCCCACACACACTCCCCACTCGCTCCTATCCTCCCACACACACTCCCCACTCGCTCCTATCCTCCCACACACACTCCCCACTCGCTCCTATCCTCCCACACACACTCCCCACTCGCTCCTATCCTCCCACACACACTCCCCACTCGCTCCTATCCTCCCACACACTCCCCACTCGCTCCTATCCTCCCCACCACCCCACTCGCTCCTATCCTCCCACACACACTCCCCACTCGCTCCTATCCTCCCACACACCACTCCCCACTCGCTCCTATCCTCCCACACCACTCCCCACTCGCTCCTATCCTCCCACACACACTCCCACTCGCTCCTATCCTCCCACACATACACTCCCCACTCGCTCCTATCCTCCCACACACACTCCCCACTCGCTCCTATCCTCCCACACATACTCCCCACTCGCTCCTATCCTCCCACACACACTCCCCACTTACTTGCCACTCCCCAGCTCCAGCTGGTACTCATAGCCGAGAAGGTTGACGCGGGGCACAGCACGCCCTTGGTGGGGGGAGTGGTGGACGAGGGGGGAGGCGGGGGAGAGGGCGTGACGGAGGGGGGAGGGGGCGGAGAGGGCGATTCGGTAGGGGAAGGCGCGGGTGCGAAGCCAATGGGGGTGCCCGCCATTTGGCCGTTGCAGGAGAAATCGACCTGGGCAGAGGCGCTGGGTGAGGGGAGGATGGGGAAGAGAGAGGGGGAGAGGGGGAAGAGGAGGGGGGAACGTGGGCGGTGAGAGGAGAGGAGAGGTGAGACGAGAGCCAAGGTGATTCTTCCCTTCCATGCATTTTCTTCCCTCTCCCTTCCCCTTCTCCCCGTTCCCTCTCAATCCCTCTTCCCCTCCCTTCCACCTCCCCACCTTCCCCCTTCCCCCTTTCCCCCCTCCCCGCGTTTCCCTCTCCCCCCTCCTCCTCCCCCCCTTCCCTATTCCTTACACGGGCTTGGGGTTGCTTCCAAGCGGCTGGCCTTCCCAGGACGGGTAGTACCAAACCACGTTCATAGGTCCGGACGACTGGAACGTCACCGAGCCTGTCCCCTCGGTTCGGCTAAACCTGAGACAGAGGAAACGAGTGTAGAGAAGCAACGCAGGGGCGCAACGTTCGGCAATCAGATGTTCGGACGCCGTTCAGACGTTCGGACGCCGTTCAGACGTTCGGACGCCGTTCAGACGTTCGGACGCCGTTCAGACGTTCGGACGCCGTTCAGACGTTCGGACGCCGTCCAGACGTTCGGACGCCGTTCAGACGTTCGGACGCCGTTCAGACGTTCGGACGCCGTTCAGACGTTCGGACGCCGTTCAGACGTTCGGACGCCGTTCAGACGTTCGGACGCCGTTCAGACGTTCGGACGCCGTTCAGACGTTCGGACGCCGTTCAGACGTTCGGACGCCGCTCAGACGTTCGGACGCCGTTCAGGCGTTCGGACGCCGTTCAGGCGTTGGGCCACTAGTCGGAATGACCAGCGAATGCCACGGGAGGTACCGTAGACAGTTAGCGAAAACCGCGAGCGACGTCCGCCTGCGTTACAAAAGTCGCAACGTACTTACAACAACATACGCTGCCAAATATTTATAAGTTTAACATATATATAAAATCTGGGCGCATCAAATAATCGATTTTTGAGCCGCTTCAAAAGCCATTGCAGCACTCACAATGCGATCGTGCTGTCGCCGAACCCGACGGAGCCGGCGCTGCCGATGTTGAGCGTGTTCGTTTCCGACATGATAGTGACCGGCGCGGGGTCGCCATGCTTTTGCGGCGTGATGACGGTCGACGTCGTGAAGGACTTCACGCCGCCGTTCGCGACGTTCGCGAAAACCGCGTCGGTTTTGCCGCCGTTTCCGCCGTCGGTCCACCCGACGCCGAACCAGCTCTTGGCTCGGGCCGAGTCGGCTTCGAGAGCCATCTGAACCACCGAGCCTGACGAGGCGCGCCAATGGTACGTGAACCTGCGTAGGTAGGGAGCGGGGAGGAGAGCGGAGGAAAGGGAGGCGCGGGTGGGGAGAGGCAGAAGGGAGAGGGGAGGGGGAGGAGGGGGGCGGGGAAGAGGAGAAGGGGATGGGGAGAGAGGAGGGGGATGGGAACAGGGCGGGGAGAGTGAACCGAAGGTTTACGAGGGACGCACGGAGGCTCAAAGAACGGGCACGGCAACAAGAGAGGCTGAACGGAACATTGGCCAGTCGTAGCCCGACGCGCTCGCCGATAATGTTGAGGATGGAGATCCGTGGCGCGAATAAAGACCTCTCGTAACATACCCCGGCGCGAGGACCTTCGAAGAGGTGAACCCACTGGCAGCGAGCGACGATGGGTTGCACTTGGCGGGGTTCTGCTGTGGAGACGGGGGAGGCGGAGAGGGCGGGGGCGTGGAAGGCGGCGGGGGAGAGGGCGGCGGCGGAGAGGGGGTGGCGGAGGGCTGCGGGAACGCGGAGGTGGCGGGCTGGCGAAATGGAGGCTTCCGCCGGTGATGGACCCGAAGCTGAAGAACGGGAAGAGCGACGAGAGCGAAGGCGGAGGCGGAGGCGGAGTGCCCTTCGCGCAAGCGGAGCGGGGGGAGTGGAGGAGCAGCAGAGAGAGCACCAGCGGGAGGGCGGCGCTGACTGCGCGGAGGTTTGCGCGGCGCGCGCGCGCGGCGGTGGCCGAGGTTGCGGCCATGAGGAGAGGATGTCGGCTGGCGGAGGCGACGAATGAGGGAAGAGATGGACCTCCGGCGGAGGCGGAGTTGGCGGTGGCTGTCGGTTGGCGGAGTTCACACCTCCGTACGCTGCTTGGGGTGCTGGAGGAGAACGCTGAGTGCGTTCAGTAAAGAAGCCCAGCAGGAATGGATTTCCCGCGAACTCCAAATGCCACAATCGCCAAATGATGAATCTCAGGATTCTTGAACTCCTGGATTTCTTTTCCTTGCCCAGCCCTCAAGGTGCAACGTACTTGCGCGGGCAACGGGGTAGCACGGGCACATTACAAACTGCAGGCGGGGGGAATGGGGGAAGAAGAGGAGGAGGAGCGGGGGGGAATCGGGGGAAATGGAGGAAAAACACCGCTACAAAATGGAGAGGAACAGGTGGCGGCGAGGCGCGGGATTGGAGGGGGGAAGTGGGGGTTTGAGGGGGATGCGAAGCGAAGAGGGGGAGGAGATTCCGCCGCCCCGCACTTGTGAGCACACAAGGTTGTTGGCAACAGAGAAAAAAGGGCACCGCGCGGAGCCGCGTAAAGTGCTGATTGGTGGGAAGGGGCGCATGGGGCGGAGGGCGGAGCGTGGGACCCAGACATATGCCGTGACGTGAGGGCTGGTCTGGTTGTCGATGTCGCAAGGTGGAATCTGATGCGGAGGCCATACCTGGCGAATGTCGCAATACAAGAATTGTTTCTGCGAGAACTCAACAGCCAACCAAAATGGGGCGTACAAGGGCTCGCGAAATCCCACATCAGCCAGGCCCCTTTCGCGTGGTGCAAGCAAGCCCCCGCAGCCACCCTACTTGGGGCCGCGCGTGTATTCGCGGCGCCGTCCTTAAGGATTCGCCTGGTTCGGAAAACCATAGCCACATTTCTGGTTGGGCAAAGCTGGTTCGGCATCTGACACGTGGCTTGACCGAACTCAGGAGGATCTTTTTTCCGATTGGACACAGCTAAATTGCGCTTGAAAAGTCTCCACTTCTGCGTAAGGGGAATGGAACTGGGGCTAGTTATGGATTGTGGAAATTGCACAAAGTATGAGTGAAACACACACAACTCACCAAAAGGGAATGTTACATTCTTCTCTCCAAACGAATCCATGTGGAGGATGGTTTCGACTATCAGGCCAACCCTTCTCAACAATAAATCCCCTGCTAGCCTCAACCCAAGCTCCCTTCCTATCACAATGCTCAAGCCCCCTCACTTCCATCGCTATCACGCATTTCACCATTCGTCTCCTCCTGAAACTGATACCGTGAGTCCCACTCCAGCTCAGCAACAAGAAACGGAGCTTCCTGGGAAGATTCCTCAACCGAGCCTCTTCGGAGCACTTGTAAATAACTTGAAGCAAAAGGTTTCCTGTCAATGGCGTTGCAATTCCATCCGGGCAAGACTGGAAGCAGGCACCTAGGTCATCAGCACCAGAGCAGGTTGCTTCTTGGTGGGCTTCGGGAAGGTAGCGTCCAGGTCAGCACTTGCACAGGCAGCATCTAGGTGGGTTCCAGGGAGGTGGTATCTGGAGGCAATAGACAGGGGGTGTCTCATCTGGGACCAGCACAGGCGAGAGCCATTCGTCTTTGGGCATGATGTACCAGCGGGAGTGGGCATGCTTGGGCAGCTGCACCATGGCTGCAGCATCATGCGTCCACCACCCGTACCAGTGCCAGGGGAACACGGCACATTCTCCATAAAATGCTGCTCCTGATGCTGGTGCTCCTGTGCCTGCTGCTGCTGCTGCTGTGTCTCCTGCTGCTGCTGCTGTTCTTCCTGCTGCTGCTGATGCTGCTACTGCTCTACCCCCTATCTCAGAATCGCCCCTGGTAGCAACGGTCCCAAATTTGGCGCCTCTCTCTCTCCAGCCCTCCTCCATCTCTCTCAGTTTCAGCCACAGGGGGTACTCATAGAACAAGTACCCTTGTAACAGCGCTGCTGCTTGTAACGAGGATATATCTCTTTTCCCTCCACAGCTCTCTGTAATCCCATCCACCCACAACTCTCCCTACTCCCTTCATTTTCCATTGCCGCCCCCCCAGTACCCTCAACTCCATACATCCTCGTTATAAGCTGAGCCCCATAACCGTGTTTGCCCAGCAGCAGTTGTCGGCTAAGCCGCTCCTTCCGGTCGCGGAGGGACTCCCCCACGTGGGGGCCCAGGTACTGCCCCAGCAGCCAGTCAGGTGCTGCTTCACTGCCGCTGCTGCTGCTGCTGCTGCTGCTGCTGCTACCACTGATAGTGGTGCTGCTGCTACTGGTGGTGGTGGTGGTGATGTGGTGGTGATGGTGGTGGTGGTGGTGGTGGTGCTGCTGCTGCTGCTGCTGCTGCTGCTCTGAGTGGGATGGAACCGGCGGGAGAAGATGGCAAGTGCATCGTCCCACGAGCCCACGAAGAGGAGAAACTTCACGGAAAGCTCCCAGTGGTGGAGCACAGCTGAGGCTGCTGCGGCTGCATCCTCAAGTCCAATGGCGGGATTAGCAGCGGCAGCAGCAGCAGCAGCAGGAGGAGCAGAATCAACAGCTGCAACAGCAGCTGTATCTCCACCACAATCATCAGCAGCAGCAGTTGCACCACCCTCTAAAACTCTCTTGCAACATAAACCAGGCGACTTGGAATCAGGAGGAGAAAGGGGAGGAGGAGAGAGCAAGTGAGGAAGAGAGGGAGGAGGAGGAGAGGGTGAGTGAGGAGGGAGGGAGGGAGGCGGCAGGGTGAAGAGCACATCAAACTCCCCCATGGTCTGAATCCGCCCCTTCCTCTCCCTCGACTCGCGCAGGAATCGCTTCCGAGCCCGTCTGCCCATCTGCCTCAGCTCCGGAAAGTCTAGCTCTGGCCGAGCCGGAGCCAGCTCCAGGCTCGGCACGCTGAAGCCCTCTAGGCTCGGTAAGTTCGGCTGGTCTGGACTCTGCTTCAACAAGGTGGAGGAGTCTGGCATGTTGGGTTCGGGGGGTCAGGTTCGGATAGGCCGCCGTCAGCTGATGTGTCTGCTTCGGGGAGGGTTTGATCTGGTTCGGGGGAAGATAAGCCGGGTGGGCTTCCCCCGAACCTCTGAAACGTGAACTTGGACAGAGGTTCGGAGGCCCCGAGGCTTGAGGCTCGGGGCCGAACGTGGAGGGCGAAGAGAATGCAAAGAGCATAGTGGTCGCCCAATCGGGCGCTCTGTTTCTTCTGCCTGAACCATGCTGCCACGTGTCCTCCATCCAGGGACTCCAGCCAGGCCAAGAGCGCCTGTTGGCCCTCCCTCTCGCTATTGTCACATGCCTCATGGTGCGGATAATTGCTTGGACTGGAGTGATCCGGGCTGTTAGCATCAGGAGGGAAGAGGTCTGGGCGAATGCGTGTGGTCCACTGTTGGTAGCTGCGGAGAGCAAGGGAGAAAGAGAAGGGAGAGAGAAAAGGGAGGAAGATGAATCGAGGGGGGGTGAGGTGTGTGAGAGAGAGGGGGGGTGGGCAGAAGGGGAATCGGGTAGAGAGGCCTTAGTCCACAGCAGGTGAGTTTTTGTTTCAAGGCGTACCTGGTTGGACGAGAGCAGCAGCGGGGGCAGAAGGCAACAAAAGCGATGTCTCTGATGAGCCTGAGGGGGGAGAGGGGGGGGGGCAGGGGGGCGGAGGGGGCTTGAAGGGGGCTGTGGGGGGTTGATGGGGAAGGGGACAGGGGAGGGCAGAAGATTACCCAAAGCGATGTCTCTGATGAGCCTGAGGTGGGGGGGGGGGGGAAGGGGGGGGGGGGGAGGGGGAAGAGAGGGGAGGGAGGAGGGAGGAGGGGGAGGGCAGGGGCGAGGCGGTGCGTCAATGAGTCTGGGGGGAATGGGGAAAGGGGGAAGGGGGTGGAAGAGAGTGGCGGGTGCAGGGGGGAGGGAGGGGATAAGCTCCTCTGAGGGCGGCGGAGTCAGCATTGCAGGCCGAGGAGGGGAGTATTCTAGCACCTGAATTTTCGTATGACCAATGTAAACCTTCCGAATTTGATGCACGTTCAATTGTATCGAATTTACATGACTCACTTATCTGGGAAGCGAAGAAGCTCTTGTTGAGTCGGAAACCGTCCAGGCTGAAGCACACTTCTGCCATGCGACCGCCCTGCGACACTAGCCGTCGCGTTAATCGTCGCCATTCCCGCTACCGAAGCCGAATTGCGCTGACTACCGCCGGCTGCGGAAGGCAACTGAGGAGAGCGCATGGTGCTTGCGCGGAAGGTGCTCGCGCGAAAAGCGACTCCTAAATTGCGCATTGCCGAGAGGACGAGACGACAGACAGGCTATCCGCATTTCAGACGTGCCTTGGTCGCCAGAATCAGGATTTGTGCGTCACCTGAGAGCATGGCTAAAGACATAGACATATTATAGTGAGCGGCAGCGAATGAAATTGCGAGGGACAAAAATGGAATCCCCGTTGTAAGCTGCTCTGGCAGCGACTGAAATTGTCAAGGCAGTTTCGTTATAATTTGGCTCTCTATGTTGCTGAACGAGTGGGATCATTTGGAATTCACGCTTTAACTGTACCGATAATTTCGATGTTACACCTAGCGGTTTCGTTGCTCCGTTCGCGAAGCCTCTCGCAGCACGTTGACTTTCGGAGAATGGACTCGTCAACAAACCATGCCGAAGCAGCCAGTCAAAATACTGCTCTGGCCAGTCTTGCCTGGACGCTGACTCGTCTTTGCAACCACGTCACGAAATCCATCCCTTCGCCGCAGTTTACGTTCGGCACTTGCAGAAATAATAGCCGTCGATCTTCACCGACAACGACCATTCTCGAGATTGGTTTTCCAATCTCGCGTCGTGCGAACTAGGCATGCGCGACATGGGTGACGCAAATGCGGTGGATAGAATTTTGAGCCTGAAGAAATTACAAATCCACTTCAGGCAAACACAGCACCAGCACAGAGCATTCACCATTCCCTACCCCACCTTCACCAACACCAGCCATTCCGCAAAACCCTCATTTCACTCCAACCATCTAAATTTGGCACTCTCGCAGGAGTACGCCTTACATACCTATCACTTATAGTATTCCGCAACATGGGCACTAGGGCGATTTTTGCTTTCGTGGTGATGGCTGCCATTCTCCAAGGCAGTGCGTTTGCTGCCAGTGGAAAGCCCAGGCGTGAGCTTCTCACGCATCGTGTGCAAGCTGTGAAGCCAACTATTGGCAGCGGTTGGAGAGCACGGGTGAACAGCAGGATTGCTAGCGCCTCCATTTCCACTGCTTCTAGCAGCACTACTGCTACTACTGGTGCCAGTGGTAGCAGCATCAGCACTGGAAGCGATGCAGCTACTGTAACCGAAGCGGCAGCAACGTCGTCCAACACTGCAACTGCAAGGGTTGCCGCAGCAGGTGTAGGGAATTCATCGCTGGGAGCGCATCCCGCAGCAGTCAGTGCAACGCTGGGGACGACCACAGTGGGCACTAGTGCCACTTGTGACGCGTCATCGCTCGCTGACTATGCCTCTTCAACGCAGCTGTCCTCCGAGTGAGTTTCTAGCACGGGCCTTGAAGTTTCCCCCCTGCAATCTTCATGAACATACCTTTTCCCCCTGCAATCGACATGCTTTGAATTCCAATGAGTCACCACCCTCATTGAATGCTCATGAAATGCCTCAAATGTCTCTCAATGCACCAATACTGCGTTGCCCTTCCCCTTCCATTTCCTCTTTCCAATACTCTTGTCACTGCGCTGCTCCTCCCCTTTCCCCCTCCCATCAGTCTCACTCTCCACTGGAAGGCAGCCAGTGCGACCAAGGTCAACCTTGCCCTTGAAGCAGCAGCGGGGAGCTCGGCAGCAGCGGGGTGGTTCTCTGTGGCGTGGTCCTCAGATGGCCGCATGGCCCCAGCTGACACTGTTTTTGGCAACCTGCCGGGGCTGTGGCGGCTTACTACATGAGCGGCTATGGGATGAGCGACGTTCAGCCTACAAGCAGCTTCAGTATTGGCAACGCTGTCCAAACTACATCGGCTTCCGGCTCCACTATTATTGAGTATGTATTTGACGCAAATTATACATTATGCATTATACATTACATATCTGGTGCCATGCATTATTTTCCAGCAGATCCGCTTATTTTTGTGACCCTTTGCTGCTTCCTGCCGCAGTTTTTGCTGCTAAGGGGCCAAGCCATGTCTAATCGTGCACCTCTCATGTGCCTATGTGGCCCACGTGTCAGGTTCTCCCGCGTTTCCAGCGATGGTTCCATCCCAGTGAACGTTGGCGGCAGCAACACTCTCATCTGGGCCTACTCTGAAAGCGGCTCCAAGTCACTTGACTTCCACGGCGAGAATGAGTGAGTGAACAGACTTGCACCTGTCGCTCTTCCCAGTGTGAATGTGAAGTCTGTTGGCTTCGTTACCACCCCCAAGATATTATGAGTTCTGCTGTCCCCTCAACTGGAAAGTGATTGTCCAGGTTGCCATCCTGTGGCCCCTTCCCTAACCGTTTCACACACTCATAGCCGTAACAACCCTCAGCTTGAACCTTACGTCCGAATCCTCTTTCCTCCTTCCACCCCCTCTCCTTCTGGGCCTCTTCCTTGCCCCTTCCACGCCTCTTCACCCTCTCCTCGCAGTGGAGTGGCCACAGTAGATTTCTCCTGCGATGGCTCCTCCTCCTCCGCTCCTCCCTCAACCTCCCCACCTTCCTCCCCTGCACCCCCCTCCACCTCCCCTCCCTCCTCCTCCCCTCCCTCCACCTCCCCTCCCTCCACCTCCCCTCCATCTTCCTCCTCCTCCTGTGCCACATCCACCCTCCCCAGCTACACCTACTCTGCCCCCCTTGACTCCTCTCTCACGCTACACTGGAAGACCGTTAGTGCTACTCAGGTCAACCTCGCCCTGGAGGCAGCAGCGGGCAGCACGGCAGCAGCGGGGTGGTTCTCCCTGGCGTGGACTGCGGACGGCCGCATGGCCCCGGCTGACACTATCATTGGCAACCTGCCGGGCGGGGCTGTGGCGGCTTACTACATGAGCGGCTATGGGATGAGCGACGTTCAGCCTACAAGCAGCTTCAGTATTGGGAGTGGTGCGGCGCTGACTACCACTTCCAGTGGCTCCAAGGTTATGAAGTAAGTCATGGGGTTCGATGAATTTGATCATTGTAGTACCTTCCCCTCTCCCCCCCCTTCCTCCCTCCCCTCTCTCCCCCTCCTCCCTCCCCCTCTCCCCCCCCCCCCCCTTGGCTTGTCATGCCTGTAAGCAATCGCCAAGTTCATGGTTTGAGGCTGGCTCATCGCCAAGTACATGGCCTCTTACCAACTTCCAGTTTTCAGGCGCCTGAAACCACCTGCAGTACACTGTCTGAGATCCACTAATCTAGAACTGCATACCCTACTATCGCCTTCTGTTTTGGCCCGTGTTGAGCAGGTTCTCTCGGGCCCAGGGCGATGGCTCCATCCCAGTGAGTGTGAACGGGTCCAACACCCTCATCTGGGGATACTCCCAAGGCGGCTCTCAGACCCTTGGTTTCCACGGAGAGAATGAGTAAGTCAAGCTCGATAGTGCTTGTTCTTGAATCAATAGTTTTTCTTTCCACTGGCACATGAAAGTTGGATATGGGGCATTTGATGGTGTACCAACTTGTTTCCTCTGCCTCATTTCGCTGGTTTGCTCTTCTCTTCACCAAATCTAAACCCCAACCGCTGTGTTCTTATCGCAGTGGTGCGCTCACCCTCGACTTCTCATGCGCCACTTCATCCACCGGAGGTGGCATCGGCGGTGGCGTTGGTGGCGGCATTGGCGGCGGTGACAACAACGGAGGTGGCTTTGGAGATGGAGGCCATGGGCATGGGCAAGGCGGTCACGGGCATGGCCATGGGGGTCCTGATGGCCCCGGCCATGATGGCGGGGCTGGAGGTGTTGGGGGGGCATGGGCGGTTCTGGCAGTGGCGGGTGGGGCAGCAGTGCTTGGGGCGGTTGGTGGGACTGGTCTGGCATAGAGAAAGTTCACCTCGTGATGGTGGCCATGGGTTTCTGGATGGAAGGAGCGGATGGTCATGGAGGTGATATGGGTAAAACCCAAAATCACCATGATTGTGGGTGTGGAGGAGCCGGCATATGGGATGAAGGAGGGATGGGTGACTTGGGGGGTCGCAGCTGGAGTGAGAGTGGCTTATGAGATGGCGGGTGGGATTGCTGGGGCCGTGGCGAATAGTGTTCTATTCAGATGGGATAATATGAAATATGCTTTTGAGTCGACTCATATTCAGATGGGATAATATGAAATATGCTTTTGAGTCGACTCATATTCAGATGGGATAATACGAAATATAGAAGGTATGCTTGTTTGCAATTGTGAAGCATTAGCCATTAGACCCCTGTTCCTAGGAACTCTGATCAGACTTATGTCGCACCGAACGGAACTGCATTGAACCAAATCGCTTCATATCTGTAGTGTATAATACTGCGCACGTCTGATAGGGGGCGCGTTAGGTAAGAAGGTAGGAACACACGCTCTTAGTGCAAAGGCAATGCATAGTGGAAAGGGCAGTGGGGCTTCTGCTGGGTTGTATACGTGGTCAAGTACTTTTTGAGTACGTTCAACAAAATGCATTTTTCTAAGAAGCACACTCTTTAAAGCAGGCTCAGCACACCAAGGTCCCATAGGGTAGGTTAGTTCGGCTGGTCTGGTCCCGGCTTCAACAAGCCAGAATTTGGTACGTTGGGCTCAGGGGAATCAAGTTTGGGCAGGCTACCATTGGCTGCTGCGTCTGGTTCGGGGAGGGCCGGATCTGGTTTGGGGAGAGTTGGATCTGGTTCAGGGAAG